TAACTATTTATGTATTCTTTTCTTCCCGGCTGGCCGGTGGATTTCGGCCTCATTAGGGGACATAGGTTTCGGTCCGGTATTTGAGAAATACCGGTCGGCACTCGGGGAAGTGCCTGGCGCCCGGAAAACGGTTGGAAAACTCGCGAGGACACGAACAGAGGTACGGGACCTGGAGGGAAAGCTTTGTACGTGCCGTGTAATGGCCGCGCGACCCGCTGAATTCGCGGGCAACGTAACAATATATATATATATATTATATATATCTATAAACACAATATTTCTACACATTAGGTACAAACGAACAGCACACACAACACATACACACACACATACCAAAACTGGACCAAAATCCGAGTCCCTTGATTCGGCCGAAGCCGACCTGCTGGCCGGGAAGAAAAGAAACCGACGGTGGATAGCTCTAAATTCGGCCAGAGTTCGCAAATATTGGAACGCGAGACACTCCCCGCGACAGGAGATCCCGGTGAAAATACACAAACAAAGAAGGAAAAGTAATAGAATTGTACGACGAGACTGTTTAACTCAATAAAATAACAATGTTTAATATAATTCTCGCGCCGGCCTCTGCCGAGACCGCGTTACAAAAGGTGGCAGGCTTTAACAAACAGTGGTTCGACGGTCGGCTATCGTCGCGACCCGCGTATTCGGTGCAATCGACAATTTCGGCAATTCAGTGGTCCGCTACCACTCAAGATATTAATTCAGCCGTTATAATACACGATCGTACGGAATTTCGCTACCGCCGACTATAAAAGATATTACATTGACTTGAGGGCTTTCTGCGTTATGTTATCGCACCCTGTAGGAAATCTGCGAGGTATTTACGATAATATAATTCTTCCGACAATCACGTATTCAATCCGCGCGTCTGTTAACGATATTTAACGATGACTCGACTGTCGCGGCATTGTCCTAGCGAATACGAGATCAAGGTTTGCCCGTTGGAAACAAAATGAGGAGGCTTACCTAGGGAAGTACGATAATCCTGGCTTGCTCGGCTTTCGCCACTATCTTGCGGAAGTGCCGGTACTCTTCGATCCTCCTTCGCTGCGCTACCCCTCTCTATCGTTCGCTAACAATCCCGCTCGACCTGCTCACTCGCTACGCCGCACACGCGATAAACGATACGGTCACCGCTCAAGTAAATTTTTGGGTATCGTTACGCGACGCCAGGACATAGCGGGCCCCCCGCTATGCTAATTCTTTTCTTCTTGCGTACCCCCCTAGACTCCTATGGAGCCACGCTCCTACGGCTCAGGGATGATGCGCCGTGGAAGGATCCCCTGGCCATGGGGATTCCTTCCGCCTTGTGAGGAGTCCAGCCTTACACCCTCCTACGTGGTTCCTGCAGCTCCCACTGGTTCTCTCCCTCTGCCTCCTTCATCTTGGGGTCCTTTTCGGGGGGAAACGACTGAGTCGCCGATTCCAGTCTTGCTGTATTCTCGTGATGCCCCGTCGACCGACTAAGCGCCTAACAATCCTTGCGATCGTCGAGAGGGAGGCCCCTTTTCCTTAAATTCTATCCCCCCGGGATAGAAACCTTGTCCAGTCGAGCTGCCGCTCGACGGGATTCCGTGGCGGTCCCTATAGCAAAGTCTGTGGGCGCGAAGAGAAACCAGCCGAGGGGTCACCTCTCGACGCTGTCCTCTCGTGGGCCGATCGCGGAAGGACGTGGTATCGGTACTCGTACCATCCCCTCGGCTCAGTTGCCCTGCGGGCGACGCGAGGGTCATCGGGGCTGTGCCCTGTGCATCGCGCCACCCGTGCCGCCCTAGCCCAAACCTAAGTTTAAGTTTAAGTTTGAACATTCTCCCAAGAGAGGGGAGTGTCGGTACCCCCCTCCAAGGCCCAGCTATGACTTATTGTGTCTTCAGCTATCCCGTAGCCCCGCAATTGGGACTACCGTAGGAATTACCGGGGGGCTATATATCTCTGATTTTCCAACCCGCCCAACTTTTTCTAGGCCCTGGCCACACGAAGGTAGGGAAGTACTCGTGCGGGGCGGAGAGTCACTAGGATCGTCCCATCCTTACCTAATAAATTAGCTAAAGGAGTTTGAACGTCGGGGTAACCGATCTGGCCCAGACCTAGATTAGATTAGATTTTGATCGTTCTCCTGGGAGCGGGGAGTTTGAAATCCTCCCCCCTTAGGCCCGGCCGTGGCTTAGTTTGAGCGCCTGTGGTCATCTCACCAGCCCTGCAATAGGACTGGGGTGAGCATTACCCAGGAATAAGGATTCCCCCGGCATCTTCGCACCCGACCAACTTTTTTAGGCCCGGGCCGCATGAAGGCGAGATGCTACTTGCCTGGAGGTCGGAGAGTCACTAGGATCGTCCCACCCCTACCTATCGAGAATGGAGTATGTACGTCGGGGCAACCGATCCTTCGTCTCCATATAGTGAGTACCAGCATCACTCTTTGCTTCACCCACAGACCGAGTCTACCAACGGGCGGGCCATATCGTGCTTTTTGTACGTTCCATCATTGAGAGAGAGCTGTATCGCCTAATATTCGCAACCCCCTGTGTATCTTGACCTGCCTATGTCCCGAATACTTCAGGAGCCCCCCCACCCTCTGTTACCCAAATTTGTACAAATCTAACACTACCCCCCGTTTTCAGGAGAAGGAGGGACCCTCGCGGGACTCCGACAGATATACATGGGGAGGCCGTTCTAGCCGACCTCTAGGAGAGACGTGGTCGGGTTCGGCGATCACCTCCCCCGGGAGCCGCAGCGGACCATAAATGAATCCACCGCCAGTCTGACGTTAGTCTAAAGCTACAGCGGGGTTGTGATTTTAGAGCGTGAAGACGATTATAGAGAGTAGATCGCGCCCACCCCCCACCCTAGATTACCAAGGAAATCGCGACGCGAGAGCGTGTTTAACGCCCACCGGACTTTGCCGAAATATCTCCGAAGAGGGAATATCAGCTATCATCAGGGGCATTGCTCACGTTCGGTCTCGAGGTTATCGCCCCACCCTATTGGTTGATGCCCTCTGTCTCTCCGGCGTACCACGGTCGTTGCAGCGTGTGCCAAACGTCTCCGCGATCCGTCGTCATATAATTGTGCTCCGGGATCGCTAGCCCATTTTTTTTTTTTTTTTTTTTTTTTTTTTTT